ATAATGTAATTGTTTACTTAAAATATCAACATGTGTTTAATATTATGCTTGACACAATAACATGTGCAAAAGACTATATATAAAATTAATTTTATTTTTAATAGTGTCGCAAAGAAAAAACCAGTAGCTGGGGTTTCAAGTTTACTAGTTAACTGGACTCAATTTATCTAAATTGTTAAAGATTGAGTTCTGTAATAGTAAACTTGAAACTCGGTTATTTGTTTTCCTTTGGCAGCATATATATTATATTGACGTATAATAATAATATAAAAAATCTACTAAGTAATAATGTGATAAAACTCAGATATGTGAAAATTTTAGTATATCTCATAATAACAAAACCAAATAAATAATTTTTTTTTTTTTTTTATTTGTCATACTTTATATTACGATTGGTATCATTAGATTCTAACTTATTATCTAATTACGAAACATATAAATACAGTAGATTTACAAATAAGATGAGTATTTTTTTTTTTCATTTGTCATACTTTATTTTACGATTGGCATTATTAGATTCTAACTTATCATTTATTTACAAAGCTTTATCGAAACATATAAATACAATAATAGATTTCTAATATTTCAAGGTAAAATATTTTTAGATTTTTTTTTTTTGGAAATAAGTTCCCCAAGAAACGTTTCACCATCTACTACACCAACTCCTACTACTGCCACTTGCCCTCAATCAGGCAATATATCAACAACTAATAACAATAATAATTTCCCTCAATCGGGCAATACATTGACTAATAATAACAATAATTGCCCTCAATTGGGCAATATATCGACTACTAACGCTAATAATAAATGCCCTCAATTGGGCAATACATCGCCTATTAATAATAAACATCATAACTTCTCTTTTGATACTGATGATGACTCTTCAGATTTATCAAGAAGTATTTTAAATGTCAATAGTACCTTTTTAAAAATAAAAACTCAATCACAAAAGTCCTCAAGTCATCGTAATTAATCTCTTCAACCTTCACAATCTCAGCAACCTTCACAATTTCGTCAACCTTTACAATCTTAGCAACCTTCACAAACAGTTCAACCTACTTAACAAACTTCTCGCTCTAGAAATTCATTCTCTTCTAGCAACCGTGATCGTTTTTTATCACCACGTGATTCTGAATTATGAAGTAGATCACAAGATTGATTACTAGAAAGACAATTAACTAATCAAAATCAGCCGTGAAACAAGATAGTAATACTATATATAAGTTTTTTTTTTTTTTTTTTTTTTTTACTTTGAATGCCATACTTTTGTACCTTTTTTTTTTTCTTTTCTATGAAAGTTTTTTTTTTTTCTTTTGAAAGTTGTTTTTTTTTCTTTCCTTTGAAAAGTTTTTTTTTTTTCTTAAAAAAAATCTCTTTTTTTTGTTGAAGAACATAAATGCAATAACTGTCATCTTTTTAAAGAAAAACTTTTCACCCAAAACTACTATCTATACAACCTGATCAAAGAGCTTCAGAATGATGTAAAGGAAGTTAAAGCCGAGTTGCAATAGCAAAGAAGAGAATGCAACAATAACTTTTCTCTCTAGGTTTTAGATATAAGTGATTTAGTTATGCTATTAAGTTGGGAAAAAAACCAAAGTTGATATTTTAAAAATTGTAGGATGTATATACAAACATTGTAAAGCGTCTCTTTTCAAGAAACATATACCCTTCCCAAAGCCAACTAAAGAAGTTCTTAAAGGACTACCTAGACAAAGCATGTCCCGAATTTATGTCCGAACTAAGCTCGAATGAATTCATGAACCACTTTCATTCTGAGTGGTTTAGTACTGTATATAATAATTCTTATGAATATTATTGCTTACTATAGTTTAATTACTTTTTAATATGCTTTTAGTTTAATATGTTTACTATCGCTTGTACTCATTTTTGTTTGTTGTTTTTTTTTTGTGGTTTACTGATTTATATTTTATATGCTTTGTTTCTTTTACTAGTTATTGCAAAAAATAAAAAATCACCGTGGAGCATCGTTACAAAACATTAGGCATTCTATTTGGAAGGTTTTTAGATATGAAAAGCTTCCTCTTCTGAAGAGTAGTGCTGCCATAAAAGAAATTATGAGGTGGAAGGAAAGTGAAGAGGTTGCCACTTGCTATCGCGCCTTTTTTGAAGAAAATGATAATGGCTATCCGTTATTGCGAAAACTGCATTCTCTACGAATACAATACCTATTCTATCTAACGAACATTGTGCGTTTACATTGGCTGTATATGATATATTGTTGAATCCTTGATCGTGAAATATGATATGTACAGAAAAGCATATAAAACATCGTATAGAGAAATATTTGGTAAGTATTTATCATAAATCATTTTATATCGACTCAAATTAATAGTTTTGTATTGGGTTTTGCATTGTAGAATGATTTTCAGAAAGGAGGCCCCTCCTATGAATCTGCTGAAGCAATAATGGACAAAGAGCTTGAGTATTCCAGTGAAAAATCGCAAGCTAACCTCTCCTCATCATGGATCTGAAGCTAAACCATCACAATCAAATTCAATGCAGCTCTCACAAGAAGAATTGGATGATTTGTTTGCACTCTATTAATGCAGTAGATTTGCTTTTTTTTTTTCTTTTTTTCTTTCTTTTTTTTTCTTTTTTTTTTTTTTTTTTTTTTTTCTTTTTTCTTTTTTTCTTTTTTTCTTTAAAAATACTTTTTGGCATTACGTGATGCTTAGTTATAAGTTATATTGATATTTGTAACAATATAATATATATTAATAACATTGCTTTAATAAAATTAATAATTTGCATTAGAATTTATTATGTAATAAAATTTGACTTGTAAATGAGCAAAGTTTTTGTATATTTATTATGATTATTTATATGGAAATAAATTGATGATTATCGCTATCAATTGTAATCGATTGGTTTATTTTCGATATATATTGATTATATTTGATATCGATAATCATCGTTTGATTATTAACCAGATATATATCAATAATTATCATAATCGATAGAACTTAGCAGGGGTGATTATAATTGATATTTATCTACCTAGGTAGTAATCAATATTTATTTCTATATAAATTTTGCTGATGAAATAACACTACCCTAACAAAAGATAGAAAATATTATGCAAATAAGATAATCTTTATATAGGTTGAAATATAAATAAAAATATATATATCTGCTATTGTACATCAACCTAGCTAAAAATATAACAATGCTGATGCCCTATCAAGAATATATGATCAAGAAAAGGAAGATTAGCAAAAGGTATACATGTTAGAAACAAAAGACAATAAATTGATAAAAAGTGAAATTATAGTAAAGTTTGTGGATAATCAATTTGTACCCATCCGCTCATTGACTAGTGATAACTGTTTTTAAGCGACTGATGATAAAGTTCGCAAGGAGGTGATAAAAACCTTGCAATATGACCTACCTAATTACCTAAAGGAAGGTCTTTGCTTTTACCAAGATGTCAAATTTACTTCAGAAGGGATTCGATATGATGGACAACATTGTATCTGATATTATATCAGATATATTAGTGATCGATTAAATCAAAAGACAAAAGGAAAGCATTTAACCAGAGATTGGAAAGGACCTACTATGCAATGTTGGTGTGGGGATAAGCTGTATTTGCCTTTAGACAAATATAGTAAGTGTTATAGTGATTTTAAGTTGTAGATTATGATTAAACAGTATCCAATTGATGAAGTTGCTAAGTGTTATTGGATGACTAATGAATAGTCAGTTGATAATAAAAATGAAAATGACTAGAGTAATGGTGTATCCATTAGTGGTTTTACCTGGAATAGTTTTAACCTTATAAATGACACTTCTATAAAACAATGGGAAAGCGATAGTGTCTGTGAAAATTTACTTCTGGATTTTGAGTTGGGTGATGAAAAAGACCCAATATCACTTCCATTGGGTGATCTAATTAATCTGTCTTGGTGTTTGGAGTTAATAGAATAACCATCTGCCCATTACTACCAAGAATTCAATAATTTTTTAGATACATATCTGTGTAATTCCATCTGGTGGAAAACCACCAATCTGATAAAATATTTATAAAATTGTTAGAAAAAAAAAAAAAAAAAAAAAGATCTAAAAGAATGGTTCTGTCTACAAAAGATGAAAAACTTTGCAAGTTGGACACTGCTACTATATATCACAATTTTTAAAAAATAATAGAATTCTTAATTATAGAAAAAAAAAGAAATAAAAAAAAATTTTTATAATTAAACATAGAAATACTAGAATATAATCAAATTAAACATTATTTAAAAACAGCACAATACCTATCCCAATTTGACAACAAACAAAAGAAACAATTAGAATCTAAAAGTAGCTTTTTTGTCCTATATAATTATTTACTTTACAAGAGAGATTGAAGAAAACAATCAAGAAATCAGTTGTTGCGCATAATACAGCAATATAAAATAAAGTCAGTTTTATATATGATGTATTCTTATCTGTTAGGAGCTTATCTTGGAACAGAAAAGACCTTTGAAAAGATTAAAAATCATTATTACTGGCCTCAAATGTATAACAATATAAAGGAATATATCAAGACCTGTAATGAATGTTAGCAATAGGGAAAATATCAAACCCGTGGCCTATTACAACCCATACCTGTCAAAGCACCTTTCTACAAAATCAGCATTGATTTTATGGACCTTTAGACTTAATTACAAAAAGAAATAAATACATTATTGTAGTAGTTGATTATATAACCAAATGGCCAGAAGCAAAAGCCATACCTACATCTGATACTTAACAAACCGCACAATTCATCTTTGATGAAATTGTATATAGACATGGATGCCCAGCCTACTTGATATCCAATAGAGGCCTATATTTCAACAACGAAGTGATAAGATTTCTAGTTAGTAATTTTGAAATCAAGCACTTAATATCAACTCCCTATCACCCACAAACAAATAGATTAGTAGAAAGGTATAATCATATCTTATGTGAGTCCTTGGCCAAATTGATTAAACAAGAGCGAGAGTGGAATACTCTTATACTGTCGGTACTCTATGTCTATAGAACCAGCAAACAGGCCATGACAAAATTTACACCATTTTATTTGACCTATGGAAGAGAAGCAAGGTTCCCGAATTTTAGAGAAGAAAATGAGATCTAAGAAAATTTGGTTAACCAATTGACTGAGATCATTGAAGGACTACCTGTAAAAAGAGAAGTTGTGAAAATGAATATTAGGAAAGCCCAAAAAAGGCAAAAGGTTTATTGAGTCAAAAAACTTAAACAAGTATTGAGAATATTCCAGAAAGGAAACAAAGTCCTTTTATTCAATGCCGCTCAGATTGGACGTCATACTGAAAAATTCTTACCTAGGTGGCTTGGACCCTTCATCATACATAATCGTGTTGCACAAGATGTGTACCGATTACGTACGTTAGGTGGTCAAATTCTTGATATACCACAGAATGCTCTACTCCTTAAACGGTATTATGCGAGATCTTAAGTACTTATAATACGAAGTATTAAACTTGGAAAAAAAAAAAAAAAAAAATTCAAAAGCATTACAGAAAATTTCTGCAATTGCCCTTTTAAAAGTATTCACCATAATTGTCTGCCTTGTTCACCAATATCAAAGAGGAGTATCATTAGCTAAAGCTGGTGATGATAATGGAACATTTATGGTTGGTAGCACTTATTATTCACGGAGCTCATACTTAAGTGGAGGAGGAATTGTCACGTTAAAAGTTAGGTCCTTCGATGCCACAGTCATGTATGCCCATAAATGTGCATGATCTGCAGAACAATGTAAAAGTAAAGGTAAATTACATCGTGTCTCTTAAGGCATGCGATTATATTTCAATGGTCCTCTACGATGCAAATTAAAATTAAAAGAATAAGTTAGTTATAAATAGAAAACACCAACGAAAGATTAGAACAGTAGATAGTACTTTCCTTCGAAGGCCTTTGAGTTCACCTTGCTTAAAAACAGACTTCGATTGCTTTTGAACTCTCACCTATAGAAATAGTATTTCTTATCTCTCTTGTATTTCCTAGTTATTTTATTGGTTAGATAAAATAGCCGTGTCTTCATACACGTTAAATTTCTTTATTCTCAATAAAACCTAATAAACTTTATCACGTGACCACGTGACTTAGAACGTCCATTGTTAAAAGTGTTATACTAACCTTTTGTATCCTCATATACAATCGTGTTAGCGCCTCTTTCGATAAAGCCTTATTAAATCCTCTTTGTTGAGTCGTATATTCGACGCCTTTAACTCCCCATTTCACCATAGTTATAGTCTTCATACTATAACAACCCGTCCCTTGAATTCGATTAAGAGGTGAATTCTAAGTGTGACAACGTAGTTTACATTTGTAAATTCTAAATGGTCTGAATAATTTATGGATGAACTGAAATCTAACCTCAAAGTGGTGATAAATGAAGTTACTGCGTTAGCATCAAAATGGAAAATTTGGGTACACCTTTGAATGAGATATATGAAGCACCCGTGCTAAATTCAAGTCAATTAAATGATCCATTTTTTTGCATCAGTAAAATTGTTTTAAAGAAATACTTGTAAAATAGTTTATAAATATCAAAAGAATAAAGTAGAATTAAGTATTTTGCATAAATTAGGAGCATTGTGTCCGAATGTTACCCATTTATGGTATTTCGAATGTGAATGATAATAATATAACTGAAGCAAAATACGGCAATTTAACAAAATATGAAATAAAGTGGCCTATGAAATCAAAGGGTTTGCATTTCATCGACAATCACTTGTCCGACGTAATCCATAATTTACCGACACTATTATATACCAACATATTTATTTTACCGACACTCATTTTATCGACAGTTTATTTTACCGACACTCATTTTATCGACAGTTTATTTTACCGACAGAACAAGTTTCCCGACAATTATTTGCCGACAATCATTTCACCGAAATTTATTTTGCCGACAATTATTTTGCCGACAATCCTTTTAGCTACAAAATCATTTCTCCGATAATTGTTTTACTGACAATTATCGGTGAAATGATTTTGTAGGTAAAATAATTGTCGGCAAAATAATTGTCAGCAAATAAATTTTGGTGAAATAATTGTTTGGCAAAATAAACTGACGATAAAATGAGTGTCGTCATGTCGGTAAATTGATTGTCTGTAAATTATTACGTCGGACAAGTGATTGAAATTCATGATAAATACAATGGTCTTATATCGTTTATCAATGTAATCCTTTACATCACGGCATTCGTTGTGAAAATATCTTGGTATGAAAGTTCAATATTATCTTTAATATCTATTGTATACCTTAAGAAATTTCGCAATAACGATAATAATTTCGAATTTTAAACTGAGTCATACTATTCAAGCATTTTCTGCGGACATTAGAGACTTTTCAGAAATTGTAATATGGTTAGCTCAAGTGTAGCCAAACAACGATACAATCTTCAGAGTGAATGTTCAGGTAAATATAAATTAAAAATTTATTAATATTTTAAAAAAATTTTTTTAAGTTCATAAGCATAAAACTAATGGCGCAATGCTTCATAATTTTGGAAACTTTGTTATCAAAACTTCTTATGAGGGCATAAAGAGTATGGCCGCTATTCGAGAACATGTCTCGTATAAAAACGTGAAATTCTTAATATCGCACTTTACAGTATCAGAAAATCTCTAGTGAAATTGCCAAAATCATTAAAAGAGGTAAATATGATAATTTTTATTTATATGTTATTAGTAAATTATTAACTGAAATAATTTTTATTTATAAAAGCTTGGGATGACGAACTTTCTGCGCGTCCTTTAGACTTAGAAGTGCAATTTAAATTAAAAGAACTCTATGAGCGTTTTTAGAGCATTTGAAAGAAGTTCTTATCGAATACGTCCTAAGGATCCTCTTTATGACATTGAAATCTCAGATTTTTGAATTGATGAAATCACAAATAAAAAATGCCACTTAATAGAATACTCAATACCTCCACTAACCTTGATATCTTTTGAAGATGGTATCAAAGAACATCAAGCTAAAACTATAAGGTTTCTTGGGAATGTTTTAATTGTCATGCAAATATTGGAAGTAACGAAGCTAAATATTGGAAGGGTTATTATCTGTTAACTGGAATGAACGGATCTAAGGATCCTGAAGCAGCTCTCTGTCTCTTTAAGGAAGCGGCGGATAATGTTATTGCCGATGCTCGACTCCGTTACGCGTTTGTGGCTGCAGACTATGATATTTTTTAATGCTTTTTTAATTTAGGTGCTATTTATTGGAATGGAAAACATTTGAAATACCAATTGATAAAGAAAAATCAACCTAATGCAATGTTGCTTTTTTTTTTTAAAAAAAAAAGAAAAACCTTGTGTAAATTTATAATTCGCATTGTAATATATTTGTAATGTGATACAGATGTTAAATATTACTCTTTACCTGAGGTATACGTATACCGATACGATTATAGTTGTTAGACGAAACCTTTTTTGCTTGATGACGAAAGTCGAAACCTAAGCTCTAAATGACGAAACCTCTGTC